TGGTTCGTCCATTTTCACTGCAGTGTGGTAAGAGCTGGCGAACTGTGGCCTGTGGCCTGTTTTGTTACATATTGTCTATGGCTGCTTTAGCATGGCAACAGCAGAGTTGAATAGTTGTGACAGAGACCTCATATTTACTATCCAACACTTTAGAGAGTATTTGCTGATTTTTGCAGTATTGTGTGAGTATGCCACAATTTATTTTTCCATTCTTTTGTTTTTTGGAGTTCCGGGTTGTTTACCCTTTGGGGCTATTACAAATAACACTTCTATGAACATTCTTGTAGTGCCTCATGGTGCACTTGTGCACCCATTTCTGTTGGGTGTATCTTTAGCTAAGTAGATAATGCCAAACATTTTTTTTCCCAAATGGTTCTAACAATTTACCAACAGTGGTGTTTGAGACAAGTCTGGGGAACGTTGCAAGACCCCCATCTCTACAAAAAAATTAAAAAATAAGCCAGGCATGGTGGAACATGTATAGTCCCAGCTACTCCAGTGCTGAGACAGGAGGATTGCTTGAGCTTGGGAAGTCATGTCTGTAGTGAGCTGTGACCGAGTCACTGCACTCCAGCCTGGGAAACAGTGAGATCCTGTCTCAAATTAAAAAAAAAAAATTCTATTTCAATTTTCTCTTGAAATTTTCACTGTCAGCTGTGCATCAGTAACTACCCCTACTAAGATCTTCTACTGCCACCTCAAATGGAAGATGATTGTAATGGAATTGTTCTTTGACCACAAACAGACTCCCTTTGGGGTGCCCCCACTTCTGTAAGAGGCATCATTATTTCTATAGTCATTCAGACTCAAAACTGGGAAGTCATCCTGGCTGCCTCATTCTTTCTGCCCTTTATATCCAGGCAGTCACAGGCTAAGTTCCTCCTTCATAACATCTGTTATATCTGCCCTTTGTATCCTATCCCTATTGCTGCCCTTCACCCTCAGGTCCTTATCATCATTAGCCTTGACTTCTTGCCTCCATCCCTCCTAACTGAAATGCCACATGAATCTTCTTAAAACACTTTTCTGCACCTATCAACTACTTGTTCAAAGAGCCTTTAATGCCATTTATCTTTCATAGAATTAGGTCTTAACTCCCTAGCTTAGCCAGAACCTTCCCATACTCCATTAGTTTACAATCTTACTTTTTGCTTCCTCTCTAAAAAACCTCCTTTAGCTCACTGCTCTGTTCACTAGCCCTTGAACTTACTTCAACCTCTTAATCTTTTTCTGTTTAAGCCACTTTCTTCAAGGATCAGTTAAAGTCCTAACTCTAGTTCCACTGATCTTACTCAAAATTTATTTCTCCTTTTTCTGACATTTGTAGCACACTATTTCTTCCACAAGTACCTAGTATTGTAATTTTTTGTTCATTCATTCATTCATTCAACAAAGAATATTGACCATCACTCATATTCCTAACATTGTGCTAGACACAGAGTGTACAAAGATGGAGATGATATAGTTCCTAACCTTGATGAGTTCATGCTCTTGTCCAATTTGACCAAATTGAATACAAAACATTTGAGGGCAGAAGCTGTCTTATTCTTCTTTATATTTCCAATGCCAATCAGAATTTCCTTTTTTTCTTTTTCTTTCTTTTTTTTTTTTTTTTTGAGACAGAGTATTGTTCTTGTTGCCTAGGCTTGAGTGCAATGGTGCTACCTCTGCTCACTGCAACCTCCACCTCCTGGGTTCAAGCGATTCTCCAGCCTCAGCCTCCTGAGTAGCTGGGATTACAGGTGCCTACCACCACACCTGCCTAATTTTTGTATTTTTAGTAGAAATAGGTTTTCACCATGTTGGCCAGGCTGGTCGCAAACTCCTGACCTCAAGTGATCCGCCCACCTCAGCCTCCCAAAGTGCTGGGATTATAGGCGTGAGCCACTGCACCTGGCCTAATCAGCATTTTCTACAGAGTACATATATAATATATATCTATTGCTGTTAATGGTAATGATGAAAGACAATAGAATTTCTGGTTCTAATAATAGTGAAGAAAGCTAGAGGCTAGCAAAATTTCACTCATAGTTTATGTATTTCTATCAGAAATTCAAATAAGGAAGTATCATCCAATTTTCTGTTGGGTTTTAGTATTGTAGAACCTCTTTTTACTCATAAAGCTATAAATGCTCTAAAAACTCTTTAGGCTATTATTATTCAGATTGTTTCCTGAAATTGTACAAGAAAGTAAATTAACCCTTTTGGATCATTTGCAGAGTTATTTTAACTTTTTTATAAGAAATTCTGTAATACACTCATATATACATACATTATATATACTTTCATAAACAAATATAAATAGATATACTATAAGAAATCTCTCTAGACAACTTCAAATTTTCACTAATAAAAAGGAGTAATGAATTGTTACTTTATCATGATATGGTGAAAGAAATCATTACTATACAATAATCCAGAAAACATATCACAAACATTTTACTGAACCCTCATTAGTGCAGTTGTATGCTTCAACACTATGTTATGATTTCTCCTATAGAGATGTAAATAATGATTCAAAGGCTAAAAAGAAAAAGAAAAGTGTGGGGAAGGGAGAAGGAGAAAGACAGAGACAGAGAGTTAAGGAGTAAATGGGAGGTGTAAGTTGTTTTGTTTTCTGGGTGGAGCTTTGAAAGTGATATATAATTGAACAGAAAATAAGTTGTTCAAGAAAATTATAACCACCATAATGCAGGAAGGGGCATTGTGGATTTTCAGAGGGTCTCCTCCTCCTGCCCCCATTGAAACTTTACTTTCTATGCCATGGCCTCTATTTGGAAAAAAACAGAGGAAAATAATGTAAGAGACAGGCCTCATCATGAGCACACACAGCTGTCACCCTGCCATTTTATTTCCTGAAAGGTTGCTCATTCCATGGTGGCCTCTGACAGGCAAGAGGTGCCACTATTCAAGACTCTTCCCAGCAACCCCAGGACAGAATTACCAGTGCCAATCAGAAGGCTGGCATGTTTTAACCCATCCATGACCCACTGCTATATACATGGGAGTGGCGACAGGAGGTCAGAGACAACAGAAGAGCGGCAGGGAATCTATGACCTGGAAGGTGGTTTGTGGAGCTGGGCTGATGCTCACTCCTGGCTTCTGAAGTAAAGGCAATGGAGAAGACAGAAACAAAGAAAAAACTAAAACAAAAACGTGGAAAAATTGGAGAGCAATTGGGCACCAGGAGACTAGGCGCCTCTACCAAATAGGAACCAGGTGCAGCTTTAAAGTATGTGCCTGCTTTATGTGCTAACATTTACACACTCTGCCCATACTTACACTTTACAGTGTAATACTTTGTTGTCTCTTCTAAGCACCTAGAGTGGAAGGTAGAAATCATATCCATTTCACAGAAAAAAGGGCTTCTGCTAATAACAAAACCCAAATGACTTTTGAATAAAGCTGCAGATCTTTCTGATTCAAGGATGACTGCATTTATACAAATTATTTTGAGATGTTAATATTCTTGGAAGGAAATGAATCAGAAAACATTTTCAAGTTACTTTAAACCGTATGATCTTCCTATGGATTGTGCAGAGAATCCTAAGGTACAGATCAAAATGGTTCTGACCTAAATTTGTTAATATAGAGTGTTTTAAGATTAAGAAGAGTATGTGTGTGTTTCCTATAGATTTATAAAAACTAGTCCTAAAAAAGAAACTGATAAGGAAAATTGATGGTGTGAACATAGCACCACATAACAAATATTTTCTCAGATGAAGATTTTCGAAAAAGCATAGAAAAAATTCATACGATTGTTTGGTTGCTTCTCTGATAATCACCATTATCTTAATTCATTTCTAACTCTCATAATTAAAAAAATTAAGAAATTAATAATATTAATATTTTTTCTTTCAGTAGCTTTAGCTTTAAATAAAAATAGAATGTGAACACGTTAAAAGTCTATGTACAGATTTTGTGTATGTCCCTGGAAGGGAGTTTGTTTGCTGGCCAGCTTAATTTTTGACAAAGAAAAATGGGCTGCTCTTGCTTCTTGCACAAAGATGCACTGTTTCTAGAGCAAACCAAAAAAAAAAAAAAAAAAAAAAAAAAACCAGAACGTGTGTAAACAAAGAATTAAGATAATATTCAACATGATAATTTAGTATAAACTTTTTGTGAACTGATAAAATGTGTTGCTCATTAGAATTAAAAATATAACTGTAATAAGAACTTTAAATACTAATAGTGGATAATTTTAACAGTAAGCAAGACACTCTAAATTTAATTTTTAGTACCTAACAATTAAAGATATCGATCTTTTTAAAACTTGCTTTGTCTATGCAGTTGTACAGTACTCTAAAGTTTCCAAAAGAAACAAGGCAAAGTATTTGTGAAATTGAACCGCCTCAATTCCTTCCACAGAGCTGCCATCTGGGCTTGTTTATTTGTGTTTCCAACTTTCTGGAACAGAGAGTTTCTCTGTTAGGGACAGGGCACCGAGCAAAGGAAGTGTCTTACAGAAGGCTATCTTTTCTTTTTTTAAACTACATTTTCAAAACTTATGGTTTAGTTTGGTCAAAAATACCAAATGACTACCATAATTACAGAGTCTAACACAATTGGAAGCCTCAGAATTGTCTCAGCAAACATTCTTCCACAATATGATGCAAGTAATATTTTCTACATAATACCTTCTTGTGATTTTTCAAATCTTTCTCAAAATACAAATGTCACTAAGGCTACAGCTGTTTGTCCTGGAAATCAAGTATTTTTCATAAATCCTTCTACAAGTAAGTATTTGATTTAAAAATAAAAGAAGCATTTCCAAGCAATTTTCCTAATTTTAGAAGGTACATATGAGCCATGTTACCAAGAAAATGAAGCAAACAACAAAACAAAAATCTTATAAAATACAATTAAGAAGCAAAGCATTATTGTTTGAATATACAATCTCATTATGAAGAACAGTTTAAAATTTTATAGGTCAACACTATAAACAACTAGTAGTCTCTTATCTTTGAAACATTTAACAAACAAAATAGAAGCAAAAATACCTTGTAGAGTGAAATCCAGCAATGCATATTCGTAAGCAAAGTCTGTCTTTGTTTCCACTTGCGGTCTCTTCAGGGTAGAAAATATTTTTCCAGGGCTGCTATCATCAGGGTCTTCTAGCTTTCTAAGTCCGCACCCCATGGCAAAATCTGTAAGGAATTATATTGCAGGAAAGGGGAGGGAGAGCAGCAAATTCTGTTGTTTAAGCTGCAAAAAGAAAGTTACAGACTTAGCTGCTTTGATTTTGTTTTCAGCTAAACCATAGATAACCAAAAAGAAAACATCTGGGTCCAAAGAAAGGAGATGAAGAATTTTTCTATCCATTTTTCTGTAAAGTCACTGAACCCATGATTAAGCTACAGCTCCAGGAGGCTGGGCTTGATCTTAGAGAAACATGCAAGCTGCTGAAACTTAGCAGAGAATTTCCATGCCACGTCAATTTACAGCCAGCCCCCTACCAGAGTTCTGTCGCTCAGGGCACCAACAGTGCTTTGTCTATCCCAGTTGGCTGGATGATAAAAAGAGGTGCCCAAAAATGGAAATAAAAAGGCAAAAGGGCAACTTGGATGTAATTATCTACAAGTAGAAGATATATTCAGACATAGTGGTATACAATTCTTTTTCTGTTTTCCCTTTTCCCTCTGTCCTGCGCCTACCCTCCTTCCTCTCAATTACTACCAAGAAAGCAATAGGAGAGAGAGAGAGAGAGAGAGAGAGAGAGAGAAAGAGAGAGAGAGAGAGATGGAGGTGGAGAGAGAGAGAGAGAGAGAGAGAGAGAGAGAGAGAGAATGAGAAGAATGGATTCTCAAGATATTTAGAAATAAAAATCTTTTCCAGAAAGGAAGTCAGCTTTATGAAGAAACTACTTCTGGAGTCTAAAAGGAGAAAAGCAAAGTTTTAAAAAACAGCACTTTAGTTTTTAGATAGCACTTTTGAGGATTTCTTTCCACATGAAGTTTCTTTCTGTTGAAAACATCATATGCTAATTAAAACAGCAGAGTACAAAAATTTAAATTAAAATATTTTCATAAAAAGACTTATTTAATTGCAAAGGAGAGACAGTTATGTGTGTAATTAGTTTCCCCAACATCCTTAAATAGTTTAAAGCACTCTGCTATTGGAAGGCTTATGATAGCAACTAATACTTCTATAGTTCTCAAAGTATCCTTAATTAAAAAATAAAACAAAACTGACAACTTGATTCATTTAGCATTTTTCTTTTTTTTTGAGACGGGCTCTTGCTCTGTCAACCTAGGCTGGAGTGTAGTGGCACAATTACGGCTCACTGCAGCCTCCACCTTCCAGGCTCAAGTGATCCTCCCACCTCAGCTTCCCAAGTAGCTGAGACCACAGGCACATGCCACCACATCCGACTCATTTTGTATTTTTTTGGAGATAGGGTCTCACTATGTTGCCCAGGCTGGTTTTGAAATCTTTAGCTAAAGCCATCCTCCTGCCTTGGCTTCCCAAAGTGCTAGGATTACAGGTGTGAGCCACTGTACCAGACCCATTCAGTCTTATAAATTTCCATTTACTTGAGGTCAAGAACAATTTGTAATGGACCAATTGTAATAAATGTTTATTGCATTTTACTCTTTATAGGTCAGGAAGTATGTTGCACTCATCAAAATTGTGAGCCCTGGAATCAGGCTGCCTGGGTTCAAATCCTGCTTCTTAGGGCTGCTAGAGATGTAATCTCGGGCAAGTTACTTAACCTCTTCAAGTTTCAATTTCCTCTCCTGTAAAATAGAGTTAATAATAGAACTTACTTCATAGGCTTGTTATGAGGGCTGAATGAGATAATCTTATCTCATATCTTAACACTAGGTCTGGGCTAATAGCACAAAATACATTTGTTGATGTGTGTATATTATAAAACAGGGTTGGGAGTAGGAATAGGAAGGAAGTGATTCTGCCACTGCTTCCATTATTTACAAAATAAACCCTTATCACAGTTGAAATTCTAGAGAATACAAGCCTGAAAAATTTTTTCAATCACATTAAAGACTGAGCATGAAACTCTTAAAAGGGGGATGGCTTATTTATTGTATAGAGCATTACGTTTTGTCTTTTCCTACTGTGTACTTGCCTTTATTTCTCAGAAATGTCTTAGAGAAAAATTCCATAGTCTTGTATGCTGCAGGATGAGCACTGTCAGTGGTAAGCAATTTCTGGATGAATTTGACTAAATGATAGCTGAATCTGACCCAGTGTGACTCATTTGACTGTTCACAGTACTTTCTCGTCTGACGTTTTTCATATCCTCTTTGGTATGGTGGGCTGTGAAGTCCTGTATGGCAGAAAGGGAATCTTTGAAGGTCACTAGCATTTACTGAAGTGCCTGAAAGATTATTTAAGTACCCATTATATTTATTAAATGCCTGCTATATTCCAGCCACTGAACTAGGTACTGGTACACAAGATAATTAAACATGGCCTCTGCCCTAAAGAAACTTATAGTGTAATGGAAATACAGACTTATATACAGATTATTTCTTTTTTAATTAATTAATTTATTTATTGATTCAGTCCAGGAGCTTCTGAATGTAAAGATAATTTCAATATGATTTGGTAGATGCTGAAATAAAAGTATGCAAAGAATGCTACAGAAACTCAAGATGGGGCCTCTAACTCAGCCTGGGGGGATGATGGCTGAGTTGTCATCAAGGATAACAGAGCCTTGCTGAGTCACCCAGGCTGGAGTGCAGTGGCACAATCTCGGTTTACTGCAACCTCCGCCTCCTGGGTTCAAGTGATTCTCCTGCCTCAGCCTCCCAAGTAGCTAGAGCTATAGATGCACGCCACCACGCCCAGCTAATTTTTTTTGTATTTTTAATAGAGACGGGGGTTTTACCATATTTGCCAGGCTGGTCTTGAACTCCTGAACTTGTGATCCACCTGCCTTGGCCTCCCTAAGTGCTGGAATTACAGGCATAAGCCACCACACCTGGCCAAGGATAAATACTCTTTTTTTTTTTTTTGAGACGGAGTTTCGCTCTTGTTACCCAGGCTGGAGTGCAATGGCGCGGTCTCGGCTCACTGCAACCTCCGCTTCCTGGGTTCAGGCAATTCTCCTGCCTCAGCCTCCTGAGTAGCTAGGATTACAGGCATGTGCCACCATGCCCAGCTAATTTTTTGTATTTTTAGTAGAGACGGGGTTTCACCATGTTGACCAGGATGGTCTCGAGCTCTCGACCTCGTGATCCACCCGCCTCGGCCTCCCAAAGTGCTGGGATTACAGGCTTGAGCCACCGCGCCCGGCGGATAAATATTCTTAAGATGATAAAGAAAGGTGGGGAGCATGTGCCAGAAGGAGAAAAAAGCATGAGCAAAGTAATGGAATCAAGAAAGAGTATGGCATATTGAAGGAACATGAAGCAGTTGACATAAAATGTGAGACAAGACTAAGCTGTAAGGGAGGCAAAGGCTAAGCTGTAATGAACTTCGTATACTGTACAAAGGGAATTTGGACTTTATTTTGTAGGCAGCAAAGGTGAGTTAAATAAATGGAATAATCAAGTGAGGCGTCTGAAGCAGGCAAGTGACATCAGTTTGCCTTTTAGATTGGTTACTGTGGCTGATTTCAGGAAGATGGTTTTAATTAGAGCAAGAATGGATACCAGTCAAGAGGGTAAATGCAATAGTCCAATAGAGAGCTGATGACTGAATGAATGTGATACATCAGTAGGTCCTTAAGGAATTATTTTTACCTTTAGTAAAAGGAAAAATTCCTTAAATTCATAATTGAACAATCACTTAGGTAATTTTTTCCTTCAAATTCTAGCAAAATAAAATTTTGACTCAATGATATTTTAAAAACATTTTCATTTATCAATATGGCACACATTCCTGCTATTTTAACAATTATATAGGATTGCACTGCATTAATACAATGCTTACCAAGTAACATTTTGGTCGTTTTCAAACTTTTATTGTGAAGGTTTTTGTAAGGGTTACTTTTTTCCTCACTCTGGATTGTTTCCTAAATACTTAGATTCTACTTCATAGTCAAATAGTTTACATACAAATAAATCAGTTAGAGGATGGACACAGTGGTTCATGCCTGTAATCCTAGCACTTAGGGAGGTCAAAATCAGTTAGGAACCAATAAGCAGAGAAAATTCATTCTAATAACTAAATAAGTCATATGTATTACTTATCTAAATACGTGGGTAGCCATAAAACTGTTTAAGGTATTAACCTTATATATTTTAAGTTTTTATAAGTTGTTTCCACATATTTTGCCTCTATCTTTTATGCCTATATATTCATCTAAAAACACTTTCATTGAAAAATTTTTCTCTGCCGGGCGCTGTAATCCCAGCCCTTTGGGAGGCCGAGGAGGGCAGATCACTTGAGGTCACGTGTTCCAGACCGTCCTGGCCAACATGGTGAAACCCCATCTCTACTAAAAAAATACAAAAATTAGTGAGGCGTGGTGGCGCATGCCTATTGTCCCAGCTACTCGGGAGGCTGAGGCACAAGAATCGCTTGAACTTGGAGGTGGAGGTTGCAGTGAGTTGAGATCACGCCACCGCACTCCAGCCTGGGCGACAGAGTGAGACTCCATCTTAAAAAAAAAAAAAAAAAAAAAAAAAAAAAAAAAAAAAAATTCTGCTTATGTCTGTAAGAATAATCTGCATCTCTTCAGTAGTATATTTATCTTTTTGGAATAATTTTTTTTCCGTTTTTTTGTTAGTTTTAAAAAAATTAATAAACTTTATTTTTTTAGAGCAGTTTTAGGTTCACAGCAAAATTGAGTAGAAAGCAGAGAATTCCCATTTGCTCCATTTTCATACATGCATAGCCTCCCCCACCATCACCATCCCTCCCCAGAGTGGCACATTTGTTACAACTCTTAAGTCGACACATCATTATCTCCCAAAGTCCATTGCTGACATTAGGGTTCGCTTCATGTGTACATTCTGTGAGTTTTGACAAATGTATAACGTGTATTCACCATTGTAGTGCTACTCAGAGTAGTTTCATTGTCCTAAAAATTTTGTGGTCCACCTATTCATTCCTCCTAACTGCTTTAACTCTGATCCATCTAGCAATGCTAATATAAAGGTCAAGCTATGGATCCAGGTCATTTCTCTTCCAGCCTGATATCCAACTATCACAACCATATTTGTTTCCATAGAGAGTCTTTTATCAGTGATGTTTCCCTAGGCTTATAAGATATTGAATACTAATAGTAATCGGGATAAAATTTTGGAATAAATGTCTTCTAATTCCGGTCACTTTTTCTGTAATGAATTATATCTGTTTGCTGCCAATGGCAGATTTCAAGGACAGCTTTCAGTTCTGTATTGCAAATAAGGTTTCCCCAAGTGCAGGTTTGTATGTGGGTAGGTATGATGGAGATGTAAGATCAATTCTTGTCTGTGCTCCAGTATGGGCTCCCTTAGTCCTTGAATGAATGAAGGTAACTTATGAAAATGTTGCATAGTATTCTGATAGCTACTAGTCAATTTTGGATCACCTGAGCTTATCAAAGACATAAAGCTTCTAAGAGTTAATTATGTATTATCCAACCCATTCCCTACAGAGAAAATTTTTTGCGTAATGTAACTTTTAACTCTATCTTGGATATCCCTTCTCAAAGAAGTAAATTCAACAATTCAAGTATTTATGGACTGTCTACTGTATATGTAAGGCACTACCTGGATGCAAAGATGAAAAA